AAATTCTTCCGGTTTGAAGAGCGTTTTCGGAAAGCTCCGTTTCCCGTGACGGATAAGTGTGGACGGTAGGCCTAACCGTAGAAATAAAGCTGCATTTTCAAATTTCTACGGCGTACTGTGGACGGGGCCTTAACAATAGACTTTCTTGTTTAAATACTTGATCAAAAATAAGCTCACGACTATCATATCATTGATAAGAATTTCAAAACCACAGCATGTCACTCAGTACACCTATCAATCAAATTCAGGAGAGACTTCTAACCCTAAGAAAGCTTCATTAGAACGGAAATCACTGAAAATGCTATAACACTTTCGTATGATACATGCCAAAGCAAACAAAAACAGTGCGGAAACAGAATTGTTAAAACACTAATAACCACTACAGTAAAACTCAGCAACGAATCGAAAACCGACAGTTACATAGTTCAGCTTTGTCTTAGCATTAACCAATGTCTCTCCAATGCGCGCGAATGAAACTTGGAAAACTTGGAAACTTGTACGGATTTCCACTCCTTCCGAAAAATTCTCATTATTTTCCGAGGCTCATTACAACGTTTCCGATGAAATTCTGAACCGACTAGTTCCCGAAGAATCTTGCCCGAAGTCATTGAAGCATATTCGATTGGTATTCCGAAGATTACCGAACGCTCACGTAGAATCGAAGATGTCTCGACTCGAATTACTGAACATGCGGACGGATATGCTTCCCTCGTGTATTATTGGGCACGTGAACTGATTGAGTTACTGTCGGAAAGTGGAAACAGGTGGGCAGTTAACAAATTACGTAATTCATGCATCGAATATGAACACAAAGTTGTGCCGGCCATGGACCTTCCAACATAAATCTTGCCATCTTTGCTAGCTTCTTTGAAGTGCTCATAGCCGTCCCCTCTATTAACTATGCAAACCGAACGCATGCAATTAATGGCATTAATCGTCTCATATTAAGCCAATGCAACCGTTTTTTGGCGATATTATCCTCTTCTATAAGTGCTAATCGCACTGTATAATAACAGGATTATCAACGTCCGTTTCAAATTCTTCCGGTTTTCTACCAATTGAACATTTGTAAAAGGTAAACGACTGCCATGTTATCATTCGAAATAGAACGTGTTGTAAACTAAACCCTCGTTGCTTTACTAATAAAGTTTCCTTTAACAATCATCTTTCCAAATTTAAACTTCTTTAAATAGTATCTTTTATCTTAGTATACCTTTAATTAAGATATATTAAGTCTATTTAAAGAAACAATGTTTTGCCAGTAGCCGCCGGCCGAACGTCGTCCGAATGGCTGATTTTTCCTTTAGCGTAGTGACACAAAAGGTCATCTATCGTATGCACGAAAAATCAGTGTGTAATTTACTAGAAATCCGAACTAACAAGCATTACACCAGTGTTAAGTCTATCTGTACGATGTTTGAACGCTCATTTGTTAAATGTTAAATTTATCTCACAGATATGCAGTTTATGTGTCCAGGGATTGATTATATCTGGTGATGAAAAATGGACCGCCTGCATACCGGTAAATAAGCTTTTTAAAGACCTGCTTTGAAAATAATAGAAATACCTTAAAGTGATCAAGATAGCCGGGTTATCGGCGTCGGTAACACCTGGCACTCCCATAAAGCTAAGAGGAATTCTTATTGTTGTTTTATCTGTACAATCAATAACTGTTACTAAAAAGCATGCTTGTTACAAAAATAAGCAGAAAATAAATACCAGTATTGGCGAAAATTCTATCCTTAGGAATGCCCGAGAAAGTTGAAATTCTGAATTTATCTCCTCGCAAATCTCTCTTTTAGTTATAAACATCTGGCTATTAAACAGATTGTATTGCCATCTACTTTGTTCTCAATTCTTCATTGACATATCATTCGTGAAAAAAAGGCTTGCTTAAGAGCAATACATGGTGTATAGAGTTTCAGACTTAGCAATTCATGTGGGTAACCGAAGATTCCTCTGAGTCTTTTAAATTCTCTCACCCATAGAAAGCCAAGTTCTAAATGCAAAAATCTCCTAATTTCGTTCATTTTCACAAAATATCGAAACACTAACAATACCATTTGAAACCAAAATGCTTGATAGTTTTTATTTGACTGGGTCACACACAAGAATCATTTCAGTCTGATCCACAAATGCAGGGATAAGCCGTGAAGCATAAGAAACAGGCTTTACGAAAGTACTACGCAGTAGGTTTGCTTGAATGGATGGCTGCAAGTTTCTACTCTGAGAGTGAATCACTGTTTAACTTACCTTAAAACGCGACATAGACACATGATACACTTTTAAAATTTCTAAGAGAACTGGGTGTAAACAATCTTCTGTTAAGGAAACCCTAAGCTCATTACTACCAAGGATGCCACATATTTAGTGATAAAGTAAACGAAGACTGAAATATTTCAAGAATGAACCAGCACCATGCATCCTCTGTAATGACTTGCCACATAAAACAACACAAGATACATGTATAAGAAGTTCCCAATTGTCGTGGCAAGAAATACGAATAATTGGAGTGATTTCCTGAAAAACCGTGAATCAAAATTTGAAGTCAACCGGAGCAGGAGACGAAAGGTGAAACACTGAATTAGCGCGCATTATCTCTATGATTGCACATATTTTCGGTAAATTAATTTATCCTCAGTAAATGATCCTCGTAGATGATTTAGAAAGTCCTTTCCCAGTTTAGTATAAACAGGTAGCATTTCAGAAAGAAACGAAAGGTGAGACGAGGAAGTACAGCTGGCCCAAATTTACTACCATACAATTGCATTCACAACGTTTCATAATTATTCCATACGCCCAACAGCGAGTGAGTGCTTTACTGTAAAATAGGGGTACGATCATTTCAGCGCAAATTCTCCATCACTCAGATCAGTTCTGGTTCAGAATAGGTATTGAAAATGCAGTTCTAAATGAAAACAGTCGCCTGTCATTCATTCACTCACTCACTCAGTCTCATTCGCTTTGCTCCTGTGCAGCTCAGATCTTGGCGCTCAGCGTCAACATTTCTCCTCCACATAATCTTCGCCTGATACTAGCGGCTGTTATTTTCCTCCAGAGATATCTAGAATGGAAAATTTCTGACTGCAGGGGACCGAAAACATTTCTTCCTTGGTTTCTTTCACTCGGTTCAGCCGTCTACAAACATTGCATGTCATTGTATGTAGTATTCCAAGACACGGGAGCTATGAAGCTCATTAATGTAGCCGGACAAATTGACGTGTGTAAGGTTAGGTTGATATCCAAATACTGAATGAATTAGAGTCCAGGGCCGAATGTTCAAAATTGCCTGAAACGGAGAAACGATTTGGCCATTTCTGTGCACCAGCGGAATACACTTAAACAGAAATAACAATATATTTAGAGAAAGTCACATCAACCTTAGCTGGTTTTCATGTAGTTCCTCTATCCTGGTCGAATTGGAATTTGGAGATGTTGGTTCTTTAGGAAGGAGAAAAGCCGGAGTACCCGGCGAAAAACCCTCGGAGCAAAGCGAGAACCACTGACTACAAACTGACAACGCATAGATGACACTGGGCCTAATGAAACTCGCGCCACTTTGGTGCGATAAACTACATCGATATTGAAACAATCCGTATAGCTCTCCAATACCTCTACACTAGTGTTAGTGGTGTTATAAATGCAACTGGCTGGAAATTTTCCGTGAGTTACACCTTCTATGTATTCAGTGAACGTTGCTTCAAACAATAGATACTGGGATTCAACACTGTTATGACACAACAGTACTATGACACAACTCTGCTGGTTTGGTCGGAATCAATATGAAATATTTTCCTGAATCTGAAACTTGTTTGGGATAAGCATTATGCTAACCATTTTGAAAAAGATACCCAACATGATGACTAAAACTTTATTTGTAGTAATGTGAAATGGGCCAAAACCTGTGCATGCAAGCACCCCAAACGGGTTTTTCGAGTCTGGCATGGTTCATGAAGACCCCTGATAGTCGATCTTATAGTCTGCAGATGACATACGGATTTTTTTTTTGTTAGCTCGATCATCGCGACCAGTCAGTCTTGCAACTCCGGAATCTCCATGATCCACAGAAAAAAATCAGTCGAATAGCTCCATATATCGAGAGAGTGCGAGAGAAAACTGATGAAGAAACGGCGTCCAAAACAACTTGCAGCATCGATGCTGCAGCTGGACAACTATAAAACATCTGTAGGCCCGCTTTTGGAAGTAAGACAGATTTGTGGCTCCTTCCTGCGGCCTTACGGGTAATTCGATGTACGATTTTGGGTGAACATAATGCAAAATTTAAATAAATATACAAGCATTGCTGAGTTTATTCTTAAAAGTTTGTTTGTTAATTTAGGCGGATTAAATTTGATGAAATTGTGCTGGAGGTCAAAATCCAAAGTTGACACTTTTTCAACAAAAGTAGGCTAGTAAGAAGGTCAGGAGATTTGCATTTTTGTTTTTTGCTTGCGAATACAATGCATTTTTGGAGGTATTTAAGTGAAAATTAACACGAAACGTCGTAAAAAGGAATGCGCCCTGCTTTGAGCAATTCTCTTAGCTTCTGCCACTGTTGAATACCACATAAACTGAGGTACTCAAAGGCCAGGAGAAAGCGAGTAAAGCCAGTGATATTACACCATAGCAGTTTGGCTTACTTTAGGACATTCCACAGTGACACATTCTGCCAGCAAAAGGTATTTTGCTTTTCTAATATTGCACAAGACCAGACCACAAACCTACAAAATAAAAGCTAAATACTTGAAACGGACCGGTAAGTTATGCACATTCTATCAAAGAGACGGTCCGTAGATTGCCAGCTACAAATACTGCGTCGCTTAATATACATGTATTATCTTCTGGTAGTGTTAAGCAATGCAACACTTACTTTGCAATTTGTGCTTGTAATGATTTGGCTCTGCAGTTTCAAAATATCCTAGAAAAAAATATGAGGAACGTTGCTAAAGCTTCCAAATTGAAACTAAATCAACCACCTCTCGTGATCGGCCGGGGCTAAAAGCAAGCTTCTTTGAAAGACCGTCAGTTATAGACGCTAGTACATACTAACGAACTTCAGCGGGCTCTTGGCGGTTTTGTGCGTCAGTCAAGCACTTCATTTGGGCTAAGATAATCGTTGCCTATTCTCAATTAGTTAGCTTCAAAATACGCCGAACACTGACCTCTTGCAGAGAAAAATGGATGCTCTATTTTATTGAACAAAGACACCTTGTGTGACAACTCTAAAAGTCAGTGACCCTCTGTATTCGGAACACTTCAAGTAGGAAGACTACAACAGAAATTCTACAGAAAAAAACATTTATCAATGCACACTTGAGAAGATGAGAAGGTGGGGAGTTCAGACACTCATCCAAAATCCAGACAAAGGCTTTGCCTAATGCAGTAGCAACAGGTTGCGAAAGACATTGAACACACTTCTGCTTGGTCCCTCAATTCGGCAACTTTAAAGTACTTTTATACAGACGTTGGTGCAGGCAACTATCTTTGAAGTCATGAACTGACCATCAGTAATGTTTTTTTTATTTATTTATTTCGGTGTTTCTATCTGTCCCATTGTAAAGCGTGAGTTAAAACTCCCTTTCACGATAATCTCACTTTTGCAAAACTTTTGACATGGATGGGAACTCCCGAGCAGACTGGTACCTGGCCATTCAAACGCGAAGAAGTTTGTATTTGCGCAGCCAGAAAGTTTGGCGATACAAACCAAATAGGCGAAATGTAAATATACTGAATAGAAAGAGCAACAAATAAACTAAGTATCTATTGTTGTAGGATGATAAACAACGAAGTATTTAAGATAGGATTAAAAGCAAGCGACATTTTGGAAATTCCACACTTGAATGTCAAATCTTGAATAAAAACGAGTTGACAAAGGCTCTTAAAAATAACGGGCAGTAGTAATTCACCCGTCTGGGGTTCTAAATCTGCCGGAAACCTTTAAAGACCCATAAACTTTTGTGAATATACGTTTCCGGCTCTTGACTTTAATCATAACACCCAGTCGCCATCACTCCTGATTTTGGCCATGGCATCAGTCGGTCGTTTTATTTGTTTAGCCCACTTTTGTCTGATTTTCCTTCAATTGTTTTTCATTTACCCTGTGCAAGGTATAGCGTGCAAAATTATACTACAGTGCTGAACTCGCCCCCGGGCACTTAACTCGCAGGTTTGTATGTGGGTGTCAATTGTATGATCCAATTTACAAAGGGTTACTTGACGCGACCTACGGTAGAACAACGAACCGAAAGTAGAGAATGAACACCGTCTGCTGAAGCTGACGACAGGCGAAATTGGCCACAGCAACAAAGGTCCTGCCGGCTAGGTAGGTTTCGTCTTTATGAAAATGTTGAAAGTAGCAAGTGCAACAGATAGCTTAACGAAGGCATTGGCTGATTAAGCAGTTCCAACAGTCCCGGCCCTGCATTTGGGTTTGCATTCAGAGAAATGTCATCGGGCCACAGGATAGTTTTCAACAGCGAGTAAAAGTTCTATTGGTATTCTGGAAACAGCTTTTAGATGGTTCTTTTCGCTCCTTCTTCGTTGCCAATATCAGTCACACATACATACATATACTTTATTTCCTCTAGAATTTTTTAAGTAGCCAAAATTAGCTTAAGTCTTCGAGAACACAAATACAACAAAATACAATACTTATACATTAAATCATTATGCTAAAAATTGTGAATGTGCTAAACTCATGATGTACATAATAAAACTAGAGACTTACAATCTACTGAAAAGAGTCATATTGTAATATCTTTCGCTTAAAGTCCGCAAAAATAGAAGTTCTAAGCGAGTCTGGAAGAGAGTTTCATAATTTAGCAGCTAAACCTGATGAAAAAGAATGCAGGTCGTAGTTGTTGTTTTCGGATCAGGAAGAGACAGAATGTAATTCAAATATAATATCTTGATATAATGAAGAAACAATAGTTAAAGGTGACTTTTGGGACACTAGAGATGAGCAAAACCATTTCGAAATTGAATAAAATGTTTGCTCTTCATTGACTGCTGCGAACCGGGAGGTTAGAAAATCAAAACCGCACACGCGGGGTAAAATCGAATATTACAGACACTTAGTGTAATGATAGAAAACTGAGGAGCGGTCCTCCAAATTAAGTTAGATCTCTGCGGTTTTAAGGTGCACGAGGATTTAGAAGGGTATTCAAGTTTGTCAAACTTAGTCCTACTAAAACAGTTATTGAATTACAACGTTTTGATCGGATTAAAGAAAGCTCTTGACTTTGAGAGGGCAAAATTCGGCCTTTATTACTGAGGGCTTCCTTTGTTGCGGCCATGAAAGGGAAGACGTTCTTCAAATTTTAGGGCTACAGCTTCCTGTTATTGGAGGTTCGATTTAGGCACAATGTCTTCTACCTTTGTGGGCGATAAAGGGTCAGGGCGTTCCTTAAAAGAATCTGAAAAAAAACATATTTATTTCAAAGCGCCTTGCAGTTAAACGCGTGGAAATCTTCGGAACTTCCTGTTGGACTTGCCATGTTGAACACTTAGCGGTTACATATTTCTAAGCTTATTTAGTGTAAAACTACATGCGATTGTACTTGCGTGTTAAGCATAGTTTTCTTTCACACACCTAAATCTTCTATCTTTACTTTTTGTGACACGGAATTCCAAACTTGAGTGGCATATCAAGGAAAATTGTTTTGGATAAACATAAACTGGCACTGGAATTTGCGAATTCCAAATGTTAAGAATTCCTCGCCATATCTGTTTCGAAAACCTCAAACCAAGAATAAATAAATAAAGGTCTCTGTTTGTTAATGCATTTTTTAGTAAACTATCCGCAACATGTCCGCGGAGTTTTTGTCAAGTCGAAGGCTTTTCTTATTTTGTTAAGATAATTCAAGATCTTGTATTTGTCTAAAATTGTTGGTTCTAAAATTTCTTTGAAAGACGAAGACAGGGTTAGAAAACGTCGCACAGCTGCTAAAACGGGTACTGTTGCAGTTTACGGCGGCTTATCAGTTTGCGTTTCATCAAGATCATTCTATCACAGTTCAAAGGAAATCGCAACCAGCTCCAAAACAAATGAGCTAGTATCTGTCACTAATCTTATGATAAATCTTAAATGATGCTGCCAAGTTTTTCGCCCATTACGCAAACGAAACTCGTGCGACTATTTAAGAAATGCAACCTTCAAAACAGTTTTGAAGTGTAAAAGGGCAATTTTTTATTGAGTAACCTTTTCCAAATGATTGTTTGCCAACCATTCACGACACCCACGCGCCTAAGGTAGCGGGCATCTCTTTCATCTTAAGCAGAACAGTCGTAAACAGGACATTTTTATTGAGTAACGTTGTACAAATTAACAAATAGATGCCATGTGCCGTGCGTCTGCTCAGTAATAGATCACAGATAACGTCAAAATGTGGTAAGAACACTATAAGGGGTACAGGAGGCGATGGCCGAGTGTGTCACCGATGTTCGTACCACATTCTGACGTCTTCTGTGACCTATTACTGAACAGACGCACGGCAACATGGAATCTACTTGTTTTTACAAGAAAGAAAGAAAAAGAAATGTTAATGGTATCATCTATGCGTCTGTGCTTCAATTGATCATAAGAGAGAACCAATCAAAATGCGAGAATAATTCGACTTATTATGTTATATGATTGTTTGAAGACCGTTTAACAAGTCTCAACGCCTACGCACCAAAACATACGGAAGACATAATCACCTTGTTTTAAATTTCATTGATGTCTTAAGCTCGCTTCCTAAGTTTATCATTGTTTCATTAAAGTTTCAATGATTTATCGACCCAAATTTTAGATGTTGTTCAAAACAGTTTCGCTAAAACACAAATACAGACGGAAAACGGAACTACGTAACAAAAACGTGCAAAAATTACTACTGGAAATAGCAGAAACTTTTCTAGAAGGCTCGGTGTGCTGTATGTTAAAATAATCTATCTGATGTTACGATCAAGGGAATTATACGCTAATCTAATTATTTTTAGGCATGGCGGCAAATTGTCCACTTACTGAAGGCCTGATAATTTCTTTTACCTTTCCGAGGTGATTATTTTACAGATGTGAAACTGATTGGAACGGCGGAGAGGAGACGTGC